AAAAAAAAATCAATTTTTGTGCGTACCAGTGACGGCTGTGCCGATCCATACAGCGGCGTTCCCTCCAGACGTCGGAAATTGGGTGCAATGTCTCCATGAGGCGTGTCCAGTTCATGACAATTGGGGAATCTGTCCGTCTTGAGCACGTACTTATTGAGCACCTTAGTGCCCTGTACCATGAGACTCTGCTGTCTAGTCAGCGTCTGCCTCTGCGTCTTGCCTCTGACTAGAGCTTGGATGCGGATGGCAGCCTCGCTCTGCTGCTGTTTGCCTCGTAATGTATTGGCAGACAGTGTTTTATTGCCCGTGACCAGCGCGTGTAGCCGATTGGCTGCGTCATTAAGGTACGACTGCGGATTCACGCTCTTCCTGGGGGTGGAGAGCGGCTGGGACGGCGGAGAGCGCACTACCATCTTGTGCAACTTCGCGGCAGCTCCGCTGATGTAACTTAAGGGTCTGGAGTCGCCGCTTGAGTTGCTGGAGGATCCCACGCTAGAAGAGCTCTCCCGACGCTGCTGCTGCACGAACAGCGCCCGGACTGGCGCGAGCAAAAGGCGGAGCTCGCTCTCTGGGTCCTGCGCCTGCTTGATCTCCGATGCGCGCGCATAGATGCCCTCCAGGAGCGCGTCCAATTCCTCCATTTGGGCGGGCACGCGTGGCTCCGATGAAGGTGAAGTGAGCGAAATTTTAGCGGGAGAGCTGATTTTTAGAGGATGTTTACACAACTGGACGTTTTATGTAGTAGGTTTGGACATCATCGAGTACCTCTTTGAGTCGGGGTGGTTTTGACTTGAATTCAGTAAGGTGTTGGATTCATGCTTTGTTTTCTTTGAATCAGTACTTGGGGTTTGATCTCGCTAATAGATTTTGGGAATTGCTAGATTGCTGAAAAGGCCTTTGATTCATTCAAACGTAAGTTTAGGAACGCTATAGGCTTCTGCACCGTTGATTAAACCTCCAGCTTAAACTCGTTTAAAGAGATACGAAGCTCAGCTAGATTTCATCTTCAAAAAGTGCTGGTACTCCTTGCTCGCGGCGAGTTCGGCCCTAGATTTGCTCTCAAGCCCCAGAAGTTTTTGAACGTACCAGTCGGGTCGCTCTGTCGTGGCCCAAATGCGAATATGGGCCTCCACCTCTGCTGGGTGCATTTTCCCGATATCGATCTTTGGGTCGTCCACTGTCTTGATACGCTGGAACAAGCGATTATCATACGCGGTCGCGTACCGCACATAGGTTTTGTACTTAGCGCTTTTCACGAGTTTCTTCGAGGACATTGCATTTGCATTTAGCCCCAACGTCAACCAAGCATCGTGCGTGGGGAGCCCGTGTGGGCCATTGTCTAGCCACATCCGCACCTGGCGTGTTTCGGCGCCATCCATACCTAAGTGACCTCCTCCAGTCTTTTGCTTATAACTCTCGTAGTACTTGTATTTTGGGCTCGCCTTCAATGCTTCCCCTTTCAGCCCTTCGAGTCCCAGCATCTTCTTGACTTTCACTTTTGACACTCCTGCCCTAACCCAAAACTCCACTTGCAACCATTTAACGAGCGCGGATGCGTCCCTTTCCTCGGGATCAGTGGCGCCAATCATAGTGCTTCGCAAAAGTCGTCGGTTATTGATACTGTGGTGTTTTTTCTCGAGCGTTGTACCTTTGGAAATTTCAGCGTCGCTGGGCTCTATTACTGCCGCACGAGTATCCATGCCTAAAACCAAAGCGAGAAACGCTAGCAGTGCCACGTGATAAAAGCGCATGATTTCTAGTGCGGAGATAACGAAAGAGGCGCTGTGTTTCTTGTTACAGAAGAAGCTTTTATCTCTGATCAAATTGAAAAGTGAATTATTGTTGTTACTACTTCTTCTAGCTGCTCTACGAACCAGTCCTTCTTGATAATCTCTGAGCACCTCGTTTGGTAGATAAACAATAGATGTAAACAATGGATCCTCGAAATGGTCGTCATCGAGTATTAGGTATACAAGATACGTATACTGTTTACATGTATAACGGAGTTGTAACTCCGTTACATTTCTGGACTTCGAGCGAGAGAATTGAGAAGTGATCGACGCCAAAGAGTCGTAAAACTATACCTAGTACTTCTACCCAGCACCATCCCCTTAATATCAAAACAGACTACACCGGAAATGAGATCTAGTACGCTGCTGACAGCTGCCATTGTTTACTTTTGTTTACGTTTGATAACTCAAGATGGGAGACTTTTGTCGTCCGATCACCATCGAAAATATTGCTCAAATCGAGATAAGCACCAAATACATTCGCGTTGGGTCACTCACTAAATGAGAGTATTTGCTGGTCCACATCTTCTTACTTTCTCCACAAAAAAAATAAGATTTGTTTGCGAACGAAATGTTGTGTACAGCACCGTAAACATAATTTCAGTTTTGTCCCGACCGTGATCTGTTGAGTACCAACCACAATCTAAGGACTGTATTTAGCTTTCCTACGGAACAGCTCTGGATTTCATTTAGTTTCTGACCAATCTGATTCAGCTTCACCAACAGGAGTGAATGTTCTACAAAACACTGACGTTTAGAAGCTACAAAACAATCTAAAAGCCACATTGCATTTCTCTCCTTCAATTAGTGAACAATAGATTGTTAAACCGAGTTTTTTTACGTTTGTAGCCCTAGTACGCATAATCATAGATTGCAACCCTATCCGATTCGAAAATTGATATATACCCTTGGTAAAACCTATATAGGAGTGTTAATCAGAGTAGTAACAACTAAACATCATATCATTATTAGGGGGACATCGTCCCCAACCACTGTCCTGCGTGCACTTGTTGACGTTGGCTCTCGTGAAGAAATCTTGTACAGATTTCACGAGGGGAGGTGCTCTCCAAGTGCAATTCGGGTTTCCATTGTGAATTTCACATTACAGAAATTGCTCAATTAGCTTACCAATCGCGACAAAACTTCATCTGTTTTGGAAAGGTGGAGATGTTACCGATTTTGACGTTTTGCGCGCTGCAGTGCAGATTGCGAATCGTTCTACCTCCCTCACCACAATGGGGG